CAATTTACAATACAGGTAATTGATCATAAAATATTGCATTAGTATTTGTCTTGTTACACTCGAATTTCTGCGTTTATTTAACACGGAGTAGGATATATACTATGAGAAATAGTGTTACAAACAAGTTACATACTTGGTAAAACTTTGCTGCCTTTTGTTTCGGCTCAAAATACACTACGCGCGGCAATACTCGGTATTGTTTATAGTCATGAAATTGTGTTTACCCAGCAAATGACGTCAGATAATATATTTTGTGGCATAAATTAGCATACGCGCTTATTTTCAAAATGGCGGACAACTGTTGAACTTTTCATCAAATTTTCTCAACAACTAAACGCGACAAACCGGCCAAAATATGAAATTAGATATTCCGCAAGTATACCTAATAGATATAAGTAATAAAAATTTTGGGTGCCAATGTCCTTTAAAAATCCAGCTTCTTTAGACTTGTATAATGCCGCTGTGAGTTACCAACATTTAAATCAACTTTAATGTTTATCGTATATACTTTTATCCCTCTGATAAAACGTAGGGACACTTTATATCAGATTAATAAAAAATACTTTGCTAAACCTTTTTGGCTATCATTCCTTTGCATTCAAGGGGCGAGGGCTAATGGCGATAGAATTTATGGGAGATGCTGTGCAATATTTTGGCTTTAACAAACAGGTATACTCGTGCAGACAAAAAAAGGAAATGCATATAGTTGATTTTCGGCAGCCATTTTGTTTTGAAAGCGATAGTTACTACTCAGGGCAGTCTCGGCAATAACTATTGCCTCAGAGTGACTGCTTAGGGACCCTATCAGAACGCTTGCATGAAAGCCATTTTTCACTACTGAATTTATACAAATTAATTATAACAATAGCTTAATCAAATGCCTCATAAGCAGTTGAAGGATTTTAAATTGTAGATGCTTGGGAATTTCGAGTAGAAGATTCTATACTGTACAATTTTTAGACCTATAACCAGTAGCAGAAGCGAAAAATGCAACTACTGACAGGAAATATGCCCTCTGGCAGGAATCGAACCTGCGGTCTGGCGATTGAGGGGCAGGGCCCTAACTAACTGAGATCTCGATAATTAGAGTATGTACCCCCAGCTATGTATACCACAGCTAATCTGAGCGCTACTCCGAAATCCCAGAGCCGCACGATTTCTGTAAGGGGCATTTTCTTTTGCTGCCTTTTTCGTAACTGCTCCTGCTTAGGTCTAAAATTGTATTTACTCTCCTGTTCTGAACTTCCAGAAAATCCTTCAATTGTTAAATCTATCAAGCACGATGCAAAAAAGCTCTTTTGTGTCTGATAACTAGTTCAATAGTAAATAGCAACAAGATAGGATTATAATTTTATAGGAATAGTACATTTTCGCCGACGTCTTCTACTGATGCGATGACATTCGACTTTAAGGGTCCATTCACGATTTCGTCGTTGTATGCAGATGTCTAGAGTTAAGAAAATGTTTTGTTACGATCATCAAAGGAGTACGAGACACGGGATGTGGCATGGGGCGTCCACAAAAACGCGGGCAACCTTACAACTGCATGCCCCCCACCCCCCGCCGTAAGGCATCAGCCTGTACGCTCATGACGATGATGTTAAATTAACAAATAAAAAATGAACAAATGTGGGATCTAGAAAGAGTCGTCAACCTGGTTTAAACAACTTAATCCTGGTATACGTCTCGGATAAATTCTTTATCACAAGCTAGCATTGGCCTGAGGCACGCGAGCAGCGCGTATAGGGCGGGGTGAAGGTATAATTCCGCTCGGCTTTTTACATGCACCCCCGGCCGGGGAAAGGAAAGCATTAGCAAGTGTAAAGTTCATCAATAATATGTAGATAAAAACTTTTATTTAAACACGCTAACCATTGTCAACCTATAGGGGCGTGTACAAAAATAATATTACAAAGATATAGTATATAGTAACATATTACATATAGTAAGAAATATAAGAATAATAATGCTATTCAAGAATGTAGCTACATGAGTAGCTATGGGTGGACATCTTACTGATCTCAAAAATATATCTGTTTGCCTGGAGTGAGGGAAGCAAATACTAAAATAACATGACAAAAAGCTGGGAAATCGTTTCACACAATAAGTTGTAAATTACCTCTTTTAAAAGTTTCTTGTCACTAGCTATGTAAAAACGTAATCACTCTTATAAGTTTTTACATATATGTGTTTGATGTCTCACATTCTTGAGGCACCAAAGGTAACTATTAATATTAGTTGCTTTCATCCTGCTCATCGGCACTACACTGATGAGGCTCAAAAGGCCGAAACGGTACCGTCTATAGTTAGATATTGCTCTATGGTCTTTAGGTCATATTGAGCACTCTACAGGATGAGCCATTGCTGCTTATACGCATTGTGCGCACGCTCACTGCTTGCAGTTTGAGCACTCTGGCAGTGATTTGATGTCCCACATTCGTGAGGCATCAAAGGTAACTATTAATATTAGTTAGTTTCATCCTGCTCATCAGCACTACACTGATAAGGCCCAAAAGACCGAAAAGGTACTGTCAAAATGTTCGAGAAGGAAATGATAATATTTTCATAGTTAGGTCGTCAAATAGGATTGAAATAGCCAATAAAAACTTTCGTTGCCATTGTCCTTTAATGACTTTAATTGTGAGATTAGCTTTACTGTAATTTGTTGATCGATGTACTTACGGTAATAGTTATACGTGAGAAATTTTTTCTTTGTGAAATATAACACTGAATCAAACTCTAAGAAGGCTAAGTGTTTATCTTGTGACTGCATGTGCATATCAGACTGAGTGAGTGATATCAGTGTTTATATGTCGTAGTGTATGGAATAATGTATGACTATGTTCTTGTTAGAAAATATGTACTGTATATCAGAATAATACTTTTATAAGTCATCGACAGTTTAATTTTAAAGTGAGCATTCAGTCCCCGTTTCGCAGCCGTCCACATGTTTACATTGTGAATTAATATAACAAAAAGTTACGTTTCAAAATTTTATCAATCTTCAATAAACAAGACGTGTACTATTAGTATTAAATCGGCACAAAGTTTATCAACGTTTGCAAACAACAAATTTAATGGCATATTTTAGAAACAGATAAAAGTGAAAAATAAATATACAAACGTTGACGACTGACCGGTTTTGGTATGAAAATATGTTTGAGAGAGAATACCCAACTTCAAACTTTAAAGTACACGATTTTATTTGTTTCTTGACTTGACTGTTGATAAAATGCTACAGTGTATTTGTAATTTAAAAGCATCCAGGTAAAAAATAGATGTTAGCGGGCGCTTCGAATTATGTATCGTAAAATCCCACTCCTGGTATTTGAAATTTAACGTTTTCTGTGGAAGCATGTAATTTGATACTTTGCCACTTCCCCATGGGCAATTAATTTTTGTTGAGTCACGTGACCAGCCGACACCAGGGTCTATCCTAAAAAGACCCTGGTTCGAGGATGACCTTGGCTCACCATCTGATGCCTTATAGCTCAATATAATGGTTAGAGCGTCTGTCCGGTTATCAGAAGGTTACGTGGTTCAATTCCCGTTAGGGCTCAGAACTTTACTGAGTATAGGCTATATATATATATATATATATATATATATATATATATATATATATATATATATATATATATATATATATATATATATATATATAATATTAATGAGACCAAAAATGATCAAATTTTACAGTGTAGAAAGAGTGCTCAATACCATTTAATAACGTAGAGCAAATAATTAATTTGTTAACTTAAAATATAGTCACAACTCTGAGTTTCACGCTCAATGCGATCTTCAGGCGACAATGTTTAAATCTCGATTAAAAATTCCTGTATGGATACGTGCGATACAATCACGCAAGTAGCCTAACGAACTCGCACGTATCCATACAGGAATTTTTTAATCGAGATTTAAACATTGTCGCCTGAAGATCGCATTGAGCGTGAATATATATAATAATTAATTAATTAATTATATATATATATATATATATATATATATATATATATATATATATATATATATATATATATATATATATATATATATATATACAGACGGTACCGTTTCGGCCTTATGGGCCTCATCAGTGTTGTGCTGATGAGCAGGATGAAAGTAACTGCTATTTACAGTTACCTTTGATGCCTCACGATTGTGGGACATCAAAACCATGCCAGAGCGCTCAAACTGCAAGCAGTGAGCGTGCGCAATGCGTAAGCGGCATGGCTCATCCTGTAGAGCGCTCAATATGACCTAAAGGCCATAGAGCGATATCTAACTATATATATATGAAGACAATAAAGTCGAAACGTTAAAAATATGTGTTGGTGATTAACGTATATATATATATATATATATATATATATATATATATATATATATATATATATATATATATATATATATATATATATATATATATATATATAGATTACGCTCTATATATATATATAGATTACGCTCTATATATATATATATACAAAGACCAGGGGTTAAAGGGCAATCAGAGGTGACAGATATTAAACATGTGCGTCTCATTGACATACAGGTAAATTATGATCAGATTTCATATCAAGTCTGTTTACTGCTAGGCGCATTTACCACATCATATAGACTATATACACAGATTTATCACACTAAGAAACCAAAACGTTATAAAAATATAGAACTGACAGTGGCCAAAGTCCAAAACAAATGTAAGCGTAACATTAGACATGAAAAAGCTTTAGAAATTCGATAAAAATTCGAAGACTCGAGCGAGTTTAAAATTTGTGTTCTGCGCATAGAAAGCGCGCACGACCACAATTCCATGCGCTAAATAAAATTTAGTTCAAAACCCTCTCTCTGCACATATTAGGCTGCTGCTACGCTCGCTCGCTTCAGGCTCGCTCGCTCCGCAGCAAAAAGGGAATCAATATTAATAATACACTGAAATTATATGCTGTCTTGTTTAGTTGTTAAATTCATATACGCAAAGGGCCAAAGGCCGTCGGGTTTTAAAGCAATTATAAAATCAATATTTAAAACAAACTTACCTTCGTTATTAAAACGTCGGCTCCCTTCTTTTAGCCGATTCTTTCGCCCTTTCTTTCTGAGAAAGCTTTTGAAATTTACAAAATCTTGCAAAAGTGCGAGCAAAAATGAATTATATTTGCAAGGAATTTTATCAATCATCAAATCAATAAATGTTTGCTATTTCGCTGTCGTCATGCAGTCGTTATAATGCAAACTTTAAATTGGACCAATCAGTGTCCGCTATTCATGACAGTCCGCCATATTTTTGAGATCAGCGAGGATGACCACCCACCGAACCACTCGCGGTAACCCACGCCCGCGCTCATTGATGAACTTTAGACTTGGCTAATGTTTTCGTTTCCCCGGGTGTAAATAGCCGGGGGGGATTATACCCTCGCACGTTCGTCTTTGGGAGGTGGAGGTCGTTTTTTCTTCTTGTGTAATAGCTGTGAATGTCTTCGTTCTTCGTTAATTCAAATTTAAAGTCATGCAATTAAATCATTTAAACATTTATAAATAAATATACATGTATGGTTATGTCTTCTAGTTTTAAGTGTTGTCCATTTTAATCGTTGTAAGGCTTCCGTTGCAGAATAGCGTGGATGTTCATCTAAGATTAGCTTTGCAGCTTTGTCATCTAAAGTTTGAAGGAAATCCATCAGCACCGAATTGTTCTTATCACCCCAAATAGTATCAGCATAATCAAACAGTGGCAGTATTAGAGACGTATAAAGAATATAACGTGTATCCAAGTCCAAGAAATCTTTGATGCGTCGTAGAACATCAAGTCTTTGATAAATTTTGGAGATTAACTTTGGAGACTGCTTTCTGTTGGTAAATATCATGAACTTGGTTTTCTCGTAGTTTAATGTTAGGAGATTGTTATTTAGCCAGTGTGAAAGTGATTGTAAATCAGCGTTTATTTTAGCTTCAAGTTCCGTTGTTGACTTTGCAGAGTAGTACAATAATGTGTCATCAGCATAAAGAATCGACTTACAGTTATTAAGACATTGAGGCAAGTCGTTAATGAATATCAAGAAAAGTAACGGGCCCAATATGCTTCCTTGCGGCACGCCAACGGTGACTGGTCTTGCACTCGATGTTGAATTGTTGATAGATGTGACTACTGTACGTGGACAAATAGAAATAGTAAAGAACCTGGACGTGCACAAATCTATCCAAATTTAGACAGAAGATAAGATTTAGACTTATACAACCTTCCTAATCATGTTTATATTTCAATAACTATGACACACTAATAGCAACAAGAGAGTGGAGCAGCAAGACTACGAGCAGTGTTATACTTTAAGCAAATAGACTTCCATGTCCGAGGATTTTGTGGTTGACAATTTAGGTATAAGGCAGTTTTGAAATAGTCTAACAGCAGAGATTTAAATCGTGGTAAAGTGAGAGACTGGTGTCTCAGTTCTGCAGGAAAAATGTGCGAGGTATGATGGGAAGACGGTAGCTACGTAAGGCTCTGCCATATGTTTCCAAAATGGCGTCAAATTACAGACATAAGAATATTAAATTACTCATGAAGTATTCATGATTTATAGACCAATTGCGAAACTTAGTAACCGCGCCTTCGCATAACATGAAAACGAGGCTTATTGTGCAAAACACAAAATTCTATTTTTTGTTTTGTTCGAAAGTCAAAGAGTGAGGCACCAAGTTTTATGGCAGTTTTCTCTCGTTTTATCAAGTTTTTAGATACTTTTTCAGCGTAGTCAAATCCATTATTATCCTAGTTATTAGTATAGATAGTTTTTTCTTCAACTGACGCGTTTTCGTGGGGTCTTTTTAATCATTTTGACGGCGCGGGCCGGTGGAAATATCATGGAAAACATCGAAGCAAACTCAGGTAAGCAAACCTTTTTTGCGAAATAATTTGTTATAAAGTTATTTTACCATTTTTGTGGACCCCAGTTTGATTTTTTAAAACGCGTGCATCAATTTAAATCTAATATCCGGTTTGAAATCGGCCAATTTCCGGCGAAAATATTTACGTTTTCTGCAATGCGTTTGTCAAAGGTCGCCGTGATTTCACCGCCATTCTTGTTCTGTTTTGAAACTGTTTACATCGCAATTTGTTTTACAAAAAATGGCAATATTTAAATCATGACATAACAAATATAAAAGGAAATTTTAGCTGGTGTGATAAGATGAAATGTCTCATCGATTGTTTGGTTTCTTTTCGTTGTTTGCATGCAGACATCGACGGATTCACAACAACAACAAGGGAAATTTGAAACCGAAGTCGAAGAGGCAAGCTAAACAACCTACCTGAGATTCATTTTACAATACTTTTATACAATACTCATACTACATTATTTGTCAATTTGTTTTCTTTTCGTTATTTTTTATGCAGACATCAACGACAAGGAAAATTTGAAGCCGAAATCTACATCAAAATCCCGAGGATTACAATGCTCTTTATATTTCAACTGTATAAACCGTGCATTAGGTGCATACCCTTACCAAACTGACAGATATGTGGCAGAAATATGTCACAGTTTTGTAAAATATCTGCAAAATATGTGTAAGAAAGTATCTGTCACATATCTGCGACATATAGGAATTTGGCCCCATGACATATCTGTCACAGTTATGTGGCAGATATCTGTCACAGTAAAGTTATATGTGACAGACACCTGTCACAGTTATGTGACAGTCATCTGCCACATATCTGCAACATATAGGAATTTGACCCAATAACATATCCGTCACAGTTATGTGACAGTATAGTTTCCCTACAGATAAAATTGTCTGTATATTATCTACCAAGCAGATATGTAACATAACTACCACCAAGTGAGATTTATTTCTACCATAAAATTAAAACTATTTCCTCTTACTTCTGCAATATAAAGTTGCTGCAACTGTACCTCTGCCATGTTCACTTGAAGCCATAATAATTTAACCTGTTGTTTTAGTTTGTGTATTTCTGCATGCCTGTTTATTTCAAAACGTCTGTTTATTTCAAAACGTCTGTTTATTTCAAAACGTCTGTTTATTTCAAAACGTCAGAGAAGAAAACTCCTATCGATCCAGACAAGATCTCCGAAGAAATATTTCCAAATTTATAGACAAGCTGTCAGGAAGTTTGCTTTGAATTAAGTTATAGGGTTAAGCTAAATTACCTAATCCAGCTTTCAACAACTGGCCCCTGGTGAATGATTGATTATACACTATACAGAGTCTTAAATTTATCTATATGTGTGACCTATAATTATATATTTACTAATATTAAATTAATATTCTGATAGTATTTCTTCGTATTAAATCTTAACTCAGGGTTATCACTAGTCCAGCTTTGAACAACCGGCCCCAGAGTACTTACACATACGGTACTTAGGCTATAACTATAATGGTATAACCTACACTTATTTAAAATTTTCTAATATTATATAATTATATTATTTATGGCCAGAAATAAATATTGAGTATCTAAACGTCAATAATTGTTAATTGTCAAGTCTCACTCAGATGATTTGCTTTTAGTTTCTCCTCTTCGAGCCCCACAGCATTTGTCCTGTACCGTTTTTGCATAGCAGCTGTCTTTCTATAGACTGTATCGTCCAGAGCAAAAGCTGAAAAAATAGGAATTGATAAAATCATATGTTTACATGTTTTAGCTTTAATTACATGTTACATGTTTTAGCTTTAATTGGCATTAAGACAGCAAGCATAATCTAGTGTTAGGCCAAATATGGGATGCCCTTAGGGTAGCCATATCTGATGGGTTACCAGGTATATATTGGCTTAACCATCTACCAGATTACATTCGATTCAATTAACACTATTTTTGTAAAGTATATATTACAGGAGACTGTAGGGCTTACTGACGAGTTAGTATATGAAGCATGAAAAGATATGTAAATTTGTTTGGTTTCAGACAGAGTAAATTAACAAGACGGAGCACATTAGGACAAATTGCAGGTCAATAGGTCCAGCCACAGCCTTCCCCCTGAATTATTGCAGGCTTATGGACAGCTTTACATGTACTGTACTGACTTATTCATTACAGAAAACTGGCTATTGCACACTGACCCTTTATCTAAACTAACTGTTGTACACTATGCTCAATTTTTGCTATGGCGCAGATAAAATTGGTACCTGTTGTCCAGTACCAAATTTATTTGTGCTCGTCCTGTATGAATATAGGTAGTTCATGCATGGTAAACATGTTAAGGGTACCAAAATTGAGCACAGTATAAACAGGCCTTAAAATGGGCTGCATTTGGAGGTAGGCTTGAAATGTAATAATTCCTACAAACAACCTCCTTAGAGGCTGTTTACAAGATCCATACTGATTATCTGGCCTGGATGGCCACCTTGGGTGGGACAGTTTGCCATTTTCTTCATATAAAGCACTAAAAGCAGACTATTTACTCTTTTTCTTATCTATTAATACAACACTAGTTTGTCAACTCAATCCAGATATTCCTGATTGTTGAGAACAATATTTGGAGCTGGGCTATAACCTGGCCGGCTCCAACATAATATAGCAAATTTTGTCAAATAACAAATTGACAAATAATATAGTATGAGTATTGTATAACGTTGTACGCTGTTTAGCTTGCCTCTTCGACTTCAGTTTCAAATTTCCCTTGTTGTTGTTGTGAATCCGTCGATGTCTGCATGCAAACAACGAAAAGAAACCAAACAATCGATGAGACATTTCATCTTATCACACCAGCTAAAATTTCCTTTTATATTTGTTATGTCATGATTTAAATATTGCCATTTTTTGTAAAACAAATTGCGATGTAAACAGTTTCAAAACAGAACAAGAATGGCGGTGAAATCACGGCGACCTTTGACAAACGCATTGCAGAAAACGTAAATATTTTCGCCGGAAATTGGCCGATTTCAAACCGGATATTAGATTTAAATTGATGCAGCGGCCCGCGCCGTCAAAATGATTAAAAAGACCCCACGAAAACGCGTCAGTTGAAGAAAAAACTATCTATACTAATAACTAGGACAATAATGGATTTGACTACGCTGGAAAAGTATCTAAAAACTTGATAAAACGAGAGAAAACTGCCATAAAACTTGGTGCCTCACTCTTTGACTTTCGAACAAAACAAAAAATAGAATTTTGTGTTTTGCATAATAAGCCTCGTTTTCATGTTATGCGAAGGCGCGGTTACTAAGTTTCGCAATTGGTCTATACTCGAGTATTTTGTCTCTGACAAATAGACCTTTTCAAGATGCAAAAGTTTGTGGTGAATTGGTTTGTTCAAAGTGCATTGAGGGAGTAAAGTTTTTTTGACGATGTTGGACTGAAAAAACGTTTCAAAGTTTATAATAAACATCGCTCCTTGAAATTCAATGAGAGTAAATGGCAATATGCACTCTGGTGAAACGCTACACGTAGTGAAACAGTTGTCGAATCTGCGATTAGAGACGGTATGTAAATATTAAATATATTATTTTTGATTGAATAAAAATACAAAGTATATGTGCAATAATGTACTATAAAGTATGTATTCATTGCTATGTCCATTCCCCGGTGTATATGCATTGGATTTGGAATAGATTCCAATTCCTAACAAGATTTGTGTGTACTTTTAATAATTTGCAACTCTTGGATGAACCTAGTTGTTGCAAGGTTGTTGCCTTCTTGGTAGCATAATTAATATCCATTACCACCCAGGGTTTGTCATGTTTGTATGAATATGTTTACATGCACTGGACTCTGGTAGCTTATCTTATCAAACAGGGTCCCCAGTAATTGGGAGTATAAATTCTGTTGCGGTAACCCTGCCACTTGTACTTTATATGTCTGTCTGTTTATTTGATGTACTTATCATGGGTTCAAAACTTTTACTTTGAAATTTTAAAACAAGAAATAACAATAATACTACTACTAATAATAATTAATTAGATTTATCATTATAATTGTCAGGTTAACCTATAGTAGTGACTATGGTAATATACATATCTTAATTATTCTACAGAATAATTCCATGGATGATGTGTCAATCTAGCATGAACTAATTTACACAGAATACAAAGTGTCATTTGGCAAAGATATTAATTGTTCCAATGATGCCATTACTGTTGCTACCAAAGTCGCTGAGAAACTGTTGAAAGTGGAACATTGACTACAACTCCAGAAAGAATTTCAATGGACGGTGCTGCAAACCAGAGCTTTTCAAATAATATGACAAGTCTAGAAATTTAAAAAAATGTATTTGGGCATCAAAAATTTAGACCAGGACAATTTGATGCTATCGAAGCTCTTGTACCCGGAAAAGATACCATTGTTGTGGTCCCAACTGGCTGCCAAAACAAAGGCACCGGTTTGAGTTGATTCATTAGGTATATCTACAGAAATAAAAAAAACCCCAGGAGTTATCCAAACTGACATATTATATAGGTGCAAAATTTTGGATGAAGCTCTGACTGGCTATTTTTAGCACAACTATATCGGGCCATATTTAATGTATCTTTTTTATTGGTTATTCCTAATTATATAATACAATTATGATACTAATATTATATATTTAGCAGTTGTAACTTTAATTAGATTGTTGTTTTTATATGAAATTGACATTTCTCCCTGGGCATGTTGATTGGATACTTTATAAAAATATATACTTCAGTGGATAGCAAGGTTTGTGTCAGGCTCTATTTGTAAAATAGAGAGAGCAAGATGCAGAAACAAAAAGGGATACAATTGTAAAGACATTTAACAATTACATATTGGACGAGGATGAGCATGATATCAAGAATTATCCAGACCTCAGCCTTTGGCAGCTAACATTGACCGAGGTCTTGATATCATGCGAAAGCCAAATTCAATAATTGTTTTATTATGCAATTATGTTATTATTATCATGCCGGGGAAGAAAAGCTTGTCAGGCGTCTCATTAAAAAATCACGTCACCAACAGACAATTTTCAATGTCATTTTAGATGGTTTGACCACTTGTTTCTTCCAGCACAACTCATTCGACACCCATACACCGAGATCTTTTTCTTGATTAGCAGCGGCAAGTACTGATCCATTCAGGGCGTAGGGCTACTCAACCGGTGTTTTCTTCCGTGTGATGCGCTGGCACTTACAATTTGGTTGAATGTCAAACCGTTATCTGTGGCCCAACCGTTAAGACTGATAATGTCGTTTTGAAGACCAGCAGTGTCTTGCAGGTTTTACTGCTATTATTACACAATATTAGATACTCGCAATTGGGCTTTTCAGGATTTTTATAATTACAAATATGAAATTCTATATCTAAAATATCTAAAAACTAATTTTGAGTTTTGACCTAAGGTATGATATACGCTATAGTTCTAAAATATTCTACTGTATAAATCTGTTAAAAACCACTTTCAGTTAAGAATTCAGCTAAGTATCATCAGCGAAACAAGCGACTTTTGATGTATTCACAGTCTTGGGCAGATCGTTCACATATAAAATAAAGAGCATTGGTCCAAGGCTGGTGGAACTTGAGGAACTCCAGATGTTACTTTGCGTTCTTTCGATGTCGCATAACATTGATTTCGATGTACCGTAACACGTTGTCTTCGCCCACGAAGATGGATGTAAACCAGTTCAACAGATTACCAGAAATGTTGTACTGGCGTAGTTTGTCAAGGATAGGTGAGTGTTGCACTTTATCAAAGGCTTTCGACATACCTAGATAAATCACATCAGTATGGTGGGCCATTGTTATCATTGTGAATTGAGTAGATAATTTTAAAATAAAATTATATTCCACGAACAAAATTAAAAAGAAAAAAAGAAAATAAATAAATAAAAAAAAAAGAAAAAATAAAACATAGATATAAAAATATATATTAAAAAAATAAAAAAGCAAATAAAAAAACAAAACAAAAGCTAACATGCGATTTTCGTTTTCAATTCTAAAATCAAATGTTCTCGACGTGGCCCATCGTTATCATAGACCAACATGCCTTGCGAACTTTAATGGTAATTTTCAATTGAAATTGTGGAAACACTTGTTTTCGTTCGAAGATTCCACATGCGCTTTACGACAAAATGGCGAAGATGAACCAGGTTTGGAAAGAATTAAATGCCAAAGTGACGGCCAAAAGAACAATAAATCATAACGGACGCAATGGAAGCCAAAAAGGAACGGCCAGGGAACTAGTTGTTCAACGAGGAAACTAGTTGGCCCCGAGCTAAGCGGGAAAAGTCGAATACGAGCGCGAAAGCTTAACACACTAAAATGCGGTACCCTACAAATAAAACTTCCGGCGTTTATGCCCACAAGTAAAGTTATATTTTATAGTACGCTACATTCTTCTGTCGGCCGCCAGTTTAAAACGTCCAAACTAAAACATTTTGGGGCTTTTGGGCTTAAAATATTATCAAAATGAAGAGAGAAGTGAGACGAATCCACTGGTATACAGCCGAAAAAGAGAAAACCAACGATAACAAAGTTATCAAGGATCAAACGTACTGCATTTTTTATTTTTTGAACGATTTGTCAACAAATAATACAATTTCGCTTGGCTTTGAAAGACAAAGGCCATAAATCGCTAGAATACTGTTGTAAGTTGTTTAGTAATACATTTGATCCGTAGGTACAATTTCTCATTCGTATAAGTACAATTTCTTACGCTGAATCGAACGGTGGTATTTTTATTCTTTAATAGTGCGCCATTAATTAGGCAATACAAATACAAGGAAACGTACTGTACTGCAGCGATTTGTCAAATACAATTTCGCTTGATTTTCAAAGGCCATAAATCGCTAGAATACTGGTGTTTAGTAATACATTTGGCATCCGTAAGTACAATTTCTTACGCTGAATCGAACGGTGGTGTTTTTATTCTTATTGCGCCATTAATAGGCATTACAAATACAATATCATATTTCACACTGAGTACACTGCAGTTTTCATGGACTGTTGTTCGATAAATTTAATATTGAAATAACACCAATATGCTTCTCATAAAGTAGTTATTTATTAAAACTACGTTGTGCAGTTTAAGTTATAACCTTTTACCTTGAAATTGTCTTTGGCTCGTTTATATTCAGATTCAGTATATTATGATCGTGCACGGCAAATTCAACGGTCCAAATTTCGGATTTTCAGAGTCGTGCACCAAGAAAAACGCATTAAATAAACTAGCACGAATGTCCAGAGTTAGACACAATGCAAAATCAATAAAAAAACAGGTACAATTCGTTCAAAATTTTCACGAAATTGTTTGAAACATTTTGCCCACTCCACGAAAGTCCCCGCCATTTTGAAAAGGATCAAGCAGCTCATTAATACTCTATTTTGTGGCTACCGACGATCGACTATCCATGATCCGTGACAAATGCATGCCGAAACCTATACTCGTGCCCCAAAGAGTAATTAATTCTGTTTACATAATGATGTTGGTTAGCACTATTTTCCATCCAGCAAACTGACCTGACGTCATTTTCGGAAGATGGAAGAGGTGTTAAATGGCTATGTAACTAACCCAAACCCTACCCCTACTCTAACCCCTAACTCTAACTCTAACCCTAACCAAATTAATAAAAAAATCCAAAAAGAAACGACTTTACAAAATCGATAGGGCGGTTTGCCGGATGGAAAAAAGTGCTAACCAATGAGTTTAGGCAAGTTAAAAAGCTTGCCTGCCAGAAATGTAAACTATGCAAGGATTTATTCGTAGGATGTTATAAAATTGCCTATATATACCTAAGCCCCCCCCCCCCCACATATATAAAAGCCATCTCTGCCGCTTACATTAGTATAATTATATACCTATGAAAAGTTATATACCTATGATGGGCTTATACAAGGGGAGAGGGGTTTATATACGGGGGGACTATCTCTCTAGAAAGAGAGATAAAGAAAATAGTAATAACTGAAAATGGATTATTTAGCTATATTTACAACAATGTTTAATATATTAAAAGGATTAAGGTAGAAAGGGAAAGACCCAACAAGTAGAAGAAGATTAAATTAAAGTGTTATGTGAACAGTTGTAGTTCTTTACTAGCTTTAAGTCCAGTGTTCAGAAAAGGTTTGTTGTGTTTGATAAGCAGTGCTTCAAGAAAAGTAAGAATGTTGTAGTTGTTAGATTTTGTAATGTGAAGTATTCTGTAGCTGTTGAAAACAAGGTTTTCAATAGGGGAAGAGTTGTCAGAAGGCAAAGGAAGATCGTTGAGTAATGCGAACTGGTCTTGCTATATTAAAAGACAATGTCAATGTTGAATAACATAGCGGTTCCTTTTTGGCTTCCATTGCGTCCGTTATGATTTATTGTTCTTTTGGCCGTCATTTTGGCATTTAATTCTTTCCAAACCTGGTTTATCTTCGCCATTTTGTCGTAAATCGCATGTGGAATCACTGCTTCCATTTTTGTCATCAAAATTTCTCATTTTTGTCATCAAAATTTCTCTAAGTTCCTAACAGCTGGTAAATTTGTTGTCACTGTGCAGAGAAATTGCTGGCGCACGCGATATTTTACAAAAATTCGAAAAAACAACACGATTGAAATTTCAACTTATGATTTTGCATTTTTAAGACGGCGATCAAGGAAATTAAATTGTAGGAAAAACTTCACTAACGTCTCAAGTATGGAAAGCATTTACAATATCAACATTTTAATTGTGAATTGATTCAAAATTCAGGCGATAAAGTTACATAGCTAGGAGTTGGCTTTTGTGCTCTTCGCATATCCATTTTCATTCGCGGATTACCACAACTTGTTGGTCTCATGGGTGCTAAAATCGACATAAACGTAAACCGGTAACCAAGAGCTATAAAACTAAAAGAAATAGCTTTTTAAAAAGATAAACTTTATTCAGTCAAAAGGATGAGGGTGAATAAACATGCTACTGCGTGATAGCGATTTCGAAGCAACTTTGTCATGAACCAAATTTTGCTTTTTGCAATCCCAAAAAGGTATGAAAATTATTTAAATATTTAAAGTTTCCATGTTTATAAAGTGTTTTTTTGAGAAAAGTAAAAATTTTCCCTATAAAAAGCATAGTTGCTGCAGAAAACTGTTTTCTGAGATAGAATATCCTGGGAGAGGGGATGTAGAAGCGTGGGCGGATAGCAAAAAACCTTGACGATTCCTCCAAAAAATTAATACCAAATTTTGTTTTGCCTTTGTTTAATATGTAATTTAAACAAGTTTTTTTACATCTAAAAATTGCCGCTAGTGATGAAAACGTGGATTATGTTCGCAGTATTGACTATTTGTTTACTTCTGGAGATCAAAGTTTGAGGTCCAATTATTTTTAAAGTTTGAAAACTACCCAGCTAATTCTTGGCTGTTGTTTGCAGCCTCGTATGCCGATTAAAATTTAGTTCAGTCCACAATAGTTGTATTGGGTTGTAGCATAATCTCTCTGCGATGCCTTTTGAACAATGTTTTATTTACGTTTAATTAGAGCCTGCGTTTCGCAGCGGTAAATGTTAGAGTATGCGCATGAGAGCAAATATGGCGTGCGAAGCAAAACAGTGTTCTACCTATTTTGTATTTTTCCATATTGTTTTATAATTAAAAGTGAGTTGAAACCTGTTTTTGGCCACATTTACTGGCAATCCCAGGATAGTAAAACATTAACGTTCACTGTGGCATTCCAGAATTGTGAAGAAGCCTAAATACAAGGAGTTTTGCAGCCCAAAACTTGTGTATTGCTTGAAGACAAATCCATGAATCAGTCATGAATGTTTAAGATAAAAAACAAGAAACAAAGCAAGGCTAAAATGGCGGTCACTGTCGCTGCGAGGCGTCTGGTCACTGTCGCTGCGAGGCGTCTGATCGGAACCTACAACAGAGAATGTGAATATGATATTTTAAAGGATTCAATGTTCGAACTTGAAAAGGTATTTGATGATTTTGTTATAAATGAGGAATACGAACTCATTGTATCTGACGAAAAATACGCTGAACACCGTGTAGTTAATGGTGAAGACATTAGGACTTACAGAGACAATGTAAAAAGCTGCTATCAAGAAGCTAGGAGTGTATTTGTTAGTGTAAAGACAACAATCGAACAAAAGGCTAGACACAAAAGCCTGTCAAAGTTGCCCTAAAGAATGACATTTGTAGAATTCGTGAACTAATCACAGTCGTTGATGAGAGTTTTAAACTGGATAATGTGAATGTAAGAGCTTTACAACTTTTACTTTATAAGAGTGATCTACAGTCAATTTTGAACATAATATGTGATAACATGGCAAAACTTGGCTCGATTGAAACACAAGAGCAAGTTAACCTAATCCAAGAAGAAGTCGATGCCATTATCAGAGCAGTTTACAATTGCATCAGAAAGATAAACTTGTTTTTGCATGAGCAACAAGCGTTTGTTTAATCATTACACATTGAAAATGCCACTCTCCCCCCTGAAACCAACACCTCCCCTGAGAACACTGAGACTATCAACACCATGCCCCCCCCCGTCCGGAACTCAACACCAACACCAACACCCCCCTGAGGACACTGAGACCATCAACACCATGCGCCCTCGGAAATCAACACCAACACCTCCCTGAGACCATGAACACCATGCCCCCCTCCGGAAATCAACACTGTTGTATTTTAGAATAATTTATTATAATTTATATCTAATTATTTACAATGTTCCTAATATATTATAGAAGTATGAGTACTTCATGTAACATAATGTAAAAGCAATAATACCACATCTCCTTTCCTTTCATATATAAAGTTATCAAAAGTTAATATTCTTCGCTATATCAATTAGTTAGTTAACAGTAAGAACACAACGTCAACATTAAGTAATATAATAGTCCTTTCACAAGTTCAGTTTTTAGGACATCTCTTTCTTAAATTATATGGATCGCGTAGTCCCACATGCCTTCCTCCCAATGGATTAGTTGTTGGGTTTGGATTCTGTTCGTCATTCGCTTCAGACGTATTGTTACCAGCAGGGGAAGATGCAGGTCTTAGATATCTTCGATTACGGGTGAGTGTCGATCCTTGGTCGGTTAATACTATGTAGGTGCGATTCGGTTTAATTTCAGCAATGGTTCCAAGTAGTGACCAATCGAAATCGACGCGGGAACGAATAGCTACACGGGTACCAGTCTGGAGAGGAGGTAACGGGGTAATCTTTCTCTTTCTCCCTTGATAACGAGGGAGGGAATCGTGGAGTGTTCTGCCAAACAGCAATTCTGCAGGACTCTTACCACATAAGAGAGGAGTATTTCGAATTGCCAGCAGACCTTTCCAAAATTGGTCATTCATAGAGCCACACTTTTTGAGGAGCTTCTTGACATTCTTTACCGCGGCTTCGGCTTTGCCATTGGACTGAGCGTGAGTAGGAGAAGATACAGTGTGTATAAAATTCCAACTTTCAACAAGCGTTGCACAGGCCTTGCAAGTAAACTGGGAACCACCGTCTAATACGACTTCAACAGGTTGACCAGATCGAGAGAACAATAGACAATTCCCATTATAGACTAATTTTAAAACTAGGCAATTAGATTGGTTGCGAAATGTTGTAAAATGTGGAAAATATGGCCTTGCAAAGTTTGCAAATTTTGTATACTTTTGTATTGCGTGCGACATTTTCGGCCTAAATGTGGTAGGAATGTGGTAGGAATTTCCGCAAGCAATACAAAAGTATACAAAATTTGCGAACTTTGCAAGGCTATATTTTCCTCATTTTACAACATTTAGCAAACAAACTTTGTAATTTTACTAATTTTAGTATGCGACACCCGTGGCCGTGTTTTTGCTGCTAGATATGATCACATGCATTGGCATATTACAGTGCTGTAAGTGTATTATACATACATTTCATCAAGGTTAAAGACATCGTTGCCGTCTTGGTCCTCTTTTTGTTTTGCAATGGTCCTAAGTGTGCTCTAGAAAAATAGAGCCCTGCATCAGTTAAATTCATTATATATATTTCATTTTAAAGTGGTTTTGCGTGTACGAAGCCCGGATAGCGCTATTATATATCCACAACCACTAGCGTTCTTTATCATGCTTTCTGAAGTTGTTCGCGCCGTTGTTTGGCGCAACTTAGATTTCACTTTGGTACTTATGAATCCAAGTTTCCTTTTGTTAATTCTGAGATCTATATCTGTAGCTTCACAGCTTTCCGAGCATTTTTAGAGGCTGATTACATGAACCGGCCTATTTGGGTTAGGTTAGCCTGCTTAATTTAGCGGATGTAGCCTACAAGCGAATGCTGAATGTAATTACAAGCAACAAACAATTATCGCGTAAGTAAGGAATATAATGCAGCATATAGACAATCGATTAAAATCTAGCAACGATTATTTATCTGCAGAAAATTTTCAATCTAAGTAAGGTTAAACGATCTTGCTTTAAAAGGGTTAACCGGACTACCCCGTCCATACAAGCGCAATTTAGCAAGTTACCTCGCAAAGTAGGGAAAAGGGCTATCATGCACGAACTCTGCACGTAATTGGCCGGCTGCATGGTTGAAAAAACTCGTCAGAGAAAATGGAATGTAACATGGTCATGGCATTTTGAATTTTTAGGGCCTGTTCATATGGGCAAAAGTTATCCCCGGTTAACGAGAAAACATTTCGGCTAGCCAAATATTTTTGTTCTGCTCATATGGAGAAACGTTGCCCCGCTTACCCGGTAACGTTTCCGGCTGTGACGTGGCACTGAACATCAATTGAATTAAAAAATTGCTGACACGACAGGAAGTTATCCCGCCAAGCGGGTAAGTTGTGTTCGCATGGGAAAAACATTATCCCGGGCACCGAGATCTCGCCTGTCAACAAGCGAGATCTCGGTATTTGACAGGCGAGATCTCGGTACACGGGTTTCATACCAAGGCGAGATCTCGCCTTATTGTGATGCGGGTCAGATGCCAAGGGCACGCTTGTAGGATCGAGTATGAGCGGAAGTATGTGTATGGGTTTAAGATTCCAGCGCGTGGGATTTTGGCTTGCTTGATCTGATGAGAGATGCAATTGTGAAGAGAACTTTTTAGCGAATTGACTTGAATTTCCCCTATCCCTTGGCACAAAAAACAAAAAAAAAACGGTTGCAGCTAATTAACTGTTGCACTACTTGACTTTACCGGTGTTTACTCTAGTTTGACAAACAACCAAGTTTATTTTTATATTAGACTTTATTTTATCCTTTTAGAACTAAATTTAGTATCTAAATATTAGGTTACCAAATTCGCTTGAGAACAAAAGTTATATTTTCACACACATATTTCTTATAAAAGGTTTATTTTTAAATTAAAACAGCATTTGTTTTTTAGAGCCAGATTTGCAAAGAAGTCACATGTCCGCTGCCATTTCTATGCAACCTACATTCACACGCAAAATTGGTATAATTAAATTCCTTGTTTTCTCAATAGAAACACAATATTTAGTCAAAATTCTTACTTGCATGGTGTTTGCATTAAATGTTTTTTTTGTGGGGACTTTTAGTGCTTTTGGGTAGAGGGATAAACAGCTTTTGGCTTTGTCACCGCAATTTACATTTGAATATGCGGCTATTAAAGCCCGTATCAGAACACTGCGGCAAATTTCCGTTTTCTCACCCTTTTCATCCTTTATTTATACTAAAATAATTATATTTTCGAAATGAATTGGAGGTGATTAATTCTTTCTCGACAAGTCCCAATTACAGTGTTATGATCCAATTGTTTCTAATGTAAATATATCCGCGAATACGGTTTATTTATAGTACCTTTCTTGTTGTTATGATTTTGACTTTTAAATGCTGCATGCCACAGTTTCTTCCCAGCATGGTGCCTTGATAGCGTTTCGTTTCTTTCCCAGCACATGTATGATTTCCGCTACCGTCGCCTGGAGCATGAGAAAAACATATTCCTATATGTTATATATTACGATAAAAGTACACACCATTAAAATAGAAGCAATAGGATAATTAAATTTGAATTACTGCATGCAGTCATCTTCAGAAAACACTTTTCTTTATTTATTCAATTTTTTGTATTGAAAACTGAACTAAGATTACGATATAGGGAGAGAGGTAGCCCAACCTCGTACCCAGGGTCTTTCCTCTTGTGGAAAATCAGGGTCTTTCTTCCTCTTGTGGAGAAAAGACCCTGGTCACGTGATCTGCTAAAATCTATCAGATTTCTAATTAACTATCTTGGATTCTTTTGCGACAATCATACAAAAAGCAAATTATAAATTAAACTATAAAAATTATCCAAATATCAAATATTTATTGACCTCATCTTGGATTGCCGATTACAAATCTGCTAGATTTTAGCAGATCACGTGACCAGCGTCTATCAGGGTCTTTTCTCCCCTCGCCAAGAGGAAAGACCCGGGGTACGAGGTTGGAGCTAGCCAACAAATAAAATTCTTATTTCATTACATTCAGCAAAAAAAAAGTTGTTAATGCAATTTATTATTTATAAAATAAAAATATATTTTAATCAATACTGTTTAACACGGATCGCCCGAACTCCTTTAAAATAACCGTCCTGTGAATCCACATCTTATACAAAGAGCTCATGGTTCTCACCATGTCCGATTCTTACTCTACTTCGCACTATTCCACCATTACCAATAACAATTATTATAGAGTTTAAGTTACCACATTTACACTAATAACAATAACGACATTTGTCATCTCCCATAGATGTCACTGTATCAGTGTAGCCCCTGGGCGAGCATCAATAAAACGACACAACGTAGAAATTTTCTTTTAAAACCCTACCGAAATTACGTCTTTTCGAAATCAAGATTTTTGTTCAAGTTGTTATAATTGATATAGCTATTGAACAAATCTTTTGAATCCAAGGCAATTAACCTATAAAATATACTATAAAGTGAATACAAACTTAAGTAATTATTAACATCATCTTCCCAAGCTAGGACTACTGGACTGGATCCTTGAAATACTCAAATTGAGCAGAAACAAATACACTATATAAACAGAGTTGTTGATAGCAGTTGAAACTGCTTTTGATTACTCAAAGCACAACTTTTGGACAACTCATCATGCAGTACTATACTATATTGGTCCAGTTTATGTAAGCCTATAGAAAATAAAAAAGGTCAGTAAGCATTCGAATGAACGTCAGTTTACTAGAAAATACATGCATGCAGAACCCTCGATCGGCTTTAAATATAAAACCATTATATTTTCCGAACATGAAGTATTTAAAATAGTTGTCATGGTAACACGATATCACTTTTAATTACAAAATTATCAATTTCCCAAACATATATATGTTAGGTATGTTGTTATATGTATAATAATATACATAAAAATATTACTCGACTGTGATTGGTTGATTCCAGTGCAGATCCTAAACAGCATTGCAATTTTCTGTAATCAAAGTGCAATTTTTTGTAATCACAGTGCAATTTTCGTAATCACAGCGGTGCAAAAATCTGTAACAAACTGAACTGATTGGTGGAAAAACAATGTCATGATAAAATCAACCAATCAGTTTATAGCAGTTTAGTTTAAAAAAGTATTAAACGATCACAGATTGCTTCAAAACAAAACAAACATGGCGCCGCTACATGGAGTAAACGTTGACTTCGGTATGGAAAATATGGCTTTTATCTTTTTTCTTTAAAAGGAAAAGCCTTTACCTTAAACAAGACTAACAAAACTTTTAAAACTATTTAAAAATAGTTGAGAGGAATTTTCAAGCTGTTAGCGTTGTATAATGTGATATAACAAAGTCAGGAAAACTTTGCCAGTGGACGGTTCGCTATAAACGTAAGTTAAAACGACAATTGTCTCAAACATTTTTATGTACATTATTAATAAGTAATAGCATGGTTTCTCGTGAAATTTGAATAAACACGCGCTCGTGAGTTTTTCAAACACCTCAAATAGCACTCGTCCTTATTTAAAACAAACATACCTCAGCGCTTTTGTTCACTTCTTAATAGTAATTCTTTCGATTTTTCTCAAGAAGCTTTTGAAATTTTCAAAATCTTGCCAAAATGAAATATATTTGCAAAAAAGCATCAAATCAAGAAATGTTTGCTATTTCGCTGTCGTCATGCAGTCGTTATAATGCAAATTTTAAATTGGACACCAATAAGTGTTCGCTATTCATGACAGTCCGCTATACTTTGAGATCAGTGAGGATGACCACCCACGCACAGTACCCACGCCCGCGATCATTGATGAACTTTAGACTTCATAATAATAATGAAGTATAAAGTTACTAATGCTAACGTTAAAGTTGCTAATGCTCTCCTTTCCCAAGGGGTAAATGGCCGGGCGAAATTAGTACCTTCGCGGAGCGCCGTTCGCTCAGGGATGAACTCACATATAATAAAAGATTTCTAGGTAGATTTCTCCATATTGGCAGGAGTACAAAAATGGGGCAAGCGCGGCTAGCCATGGCTGTCGTATATGTTATATACTAATGGGTGTAAACTTTGCCCACTTTGTTGTGTTGACTATGATATCTTAAATACTTGGGTTTTGGGTGAAAGCAAAGTGGCAAGAATGTTGAACTTGCCACAAGAGGCTAGAGCTGCATGCATGGTACAAAATACTAATATACACTATGGAGGTTTTAAACTGTTTGCTATGTTTCACTTATAGTTAATGTAATAATAGAATTAGACTGGATCAAAATTCATTGAGTCCTTGGACTGGATCAAAATTACCTCACTTTAAGTAAAAAGATAAATAATAGTAGTAAATAAAGTTTTGATTCTGCCTCCTCCGCAGGCCCTCGTTGCGTCATGGGAAGGTCACAAATAATCTGGCGAGGGCCTGCGTCACGTCAGCAAATGAATTTATACATAATCTTGAATATAAGCAGGCTATAAAAGTGCGGCATGAAACTTGTAAATTGAAATGGCGACTCTAAGGACGTGGAAGGAAGCAGTTTTTAACGATAAGGTTTGTTGTCCACACAAACGTTGCACGAATAAAAATGCCTTCTTTAACGAAGCAGGTTTAGAACAACATTTATTCATTTTACAAGATTCCGCAGGCCCTCTCGAAATCGTGACCTTCCCATGACACAACGAGGGCCTGCGGAGGAGGCAGGTTTCGATTTATCATGAGAGCTTCGACCTTGATCAAACTGCGCGTACTTGAAATCTATAGTACAGTCCTCATAGCCGGATTTGAAATATTACGTAATACACAAATATAAGTGTTAGTGTATAAATATGTTAGTAATAAAATTGATTTTAGTATAGATGGGTTCATTTGAGTCCGAATTTTTCAACACAGCTGTTTCGAGCAATTGCCGGCATTTGTCAGGTTATAGGTCATTGGTGTCTTTAGTGTCTCTAATTGCCCTGTAAAATTGATTTTAATATCATTTTAGTCAATTTACTCGATTCTAGTTGGTTAAAAACCGTGCAGATTAAACATTAATAGCACATGCAGGTGTGCCGATTAAAGATTAATCGTCGGCACGGATACGTTTAATCGTCGGCACGGATACGAGCCCGCGTGTATCAAACACAAAATCTCCAAATCAACAACTTGAAAATTTATATTTTCTGAGCTCTTATTTTGCAATGAGCTCTTTTAATTTATTATGTGTAAATATTAAAGATAAATAGGCCGTGGGCCGTTGTGCGAAAAAGTGCTTAGAAAAGCAATTTCGTGGCAACCCCCTGGGGAATAGATTTTCTGTGGTTCAATGTATCACGGGCAATAGGACAGGTGTAGTGTTGTTAAATAGAAAGTTAGAAATGGTATTATATTTACTTATGTATTATATTTATGTTTAAAAGATCAGAATATTCATAACTTCTTATTTTGTTTCATAAATAGTTCTTTAATATTCGAAACAAATTCCACATCTGCTTCGTCTGCCGCCGCCATGTTTACTCGTCCCAATCTACATACTACACGGCATTGCCGCCCCTCCTGGCAAAATAATAAGCAAGCGAGAAAAATTTAGGAGAAAATAAGAGGGTAGGAACATCGTTGTCATAAGCTGGATGCAGTGACACTTCCATATATGGCACAAACCTATCCATAACTTCCATATATGGCACAAACGTATCCTCGACGCGTTTTATAACGTTTTATTTTGACGTAGGGATGACGTGTAATGCTGCTTCCCGCCCATGACAATTTGAATTAGTCATGTGATACAAGATTGCGAAAGCTGATTCGCCCAGAGAGATGACACGCCCACGATGTTCCTTCCCTCGGTCGTAAATAGACCTTTCCCCATAGATATAGGAGATCTAGATTGCTAACGCATACCTAGCGCAGGCGGGGCCTACATGATAAATCCAAGATGGCGGTACAACAGGGCAAAAAGACTATAAATTCTATTACGAAAATCAGGATTTTTGCATTTTTTGCTGTTGGATTGTTTTGAAACTTATTCGGTCAAATTTTATGGTAAAGAGAAACTTACCGCGAAGATTTTGAGCATATATATGATTGAATTGGATAAAAACTCGCAAAATTATCCATCGATAAAAGTTCGTGTACAGGACTGATATAGTACTATATATGTAACTTGTACAGTTTTGCTTTAATTTTTGCTCACTATTTGCATATAAAGCAAATTATAACAGACCATAGATGATAGACCCTCATCCAGTGCTCTCATCAGTTTACTTCTCTAACAAGCAAGGAGGGTACATAACAGTTCATTTTTCATAATTATGAGGACAGAGCAGATGATGATGAGAGATGCAAGTATAAAACACCATTCACAAGGCTAGATGTTAACATAGCACAGTATTTCTGGCAATAAAACGCTCCAACTGACCAACTGACCATTTCACACGAACTTTTATCGCTGGATAATTTTGCGATTTTTCATCCAGTTCAATCATATATATGCTCAAAATCTCCGCGGTAAGTTTCTCTTTACCATAAAATTTGACCGAATAAGTTTCGAAACAATGCGACGGCAAAAAATGCAAAAATCCTGATTTTCGTAATAGAATCTATAGTCTTTTTGCCCTGTTGTCCCGCCATATTGGATTTATCATGTAGGCCCCACCTGCGCTAGGTACGCGTTAGCAATCTAGATCTCCTATATCTATGCCTTTCCCCTTATGAGTGAAATTTTGATCTAGATATGCCTGGACAAAAATTTCATCACAGCTTGAAAGAGCATCACAAAATTAGTAATATTCCGAAGTTTCGTTGCGAAATGTTGTAAAATGCGGATAATATAGCCCTGCGAAGTTTGCCGTTTTTCAGTCATTTTGCATTACAAACGGGAAATTGATAATCAGATGATCAAACTGATTCTAATTTTTGTTCAGACTCGTCTAGATCAAAATTTCACTCAAAAGGGGAAAGGTCTATTGGATTAGGAACTCCTGTGACTCTGTCCGAATTTACACTGATCATGACTCATGATACACAACTGAATATTACTGTGTTTGCATTCTTAAATGTTTTCATGAATCAAGTTCCTAGCCATAGCATCCGGACATTCACTCATTCGAAATTAAATTAATATGAACCAAACTTGCAAAGACTAGCAATACTGTTTATGATGGTATCATATAATACTACTTGGTGCGATCTAGAAAACAAAAACTTTAATATTTCAAATCGACTAAATTTTCGCTCATCATTAGTAAAATATATGACAACCATGACTGATCACGCGCTCGCCCAATTTTTTTGTCACTCTTGCAATCGACCACCCGTTTACAGTGAAGAACATCCCGACTAATTAATTTATCGACTTTCCTTACTTTAGTTGTGACCATGCAATCACACCAATTTACTTGTCTTTCGTTCCTGTGATCTCCAACTTCAAATACCTGAATGTTTTTACTCTGCACCCCAGTTCCTTGCATTATATACATGATAGCATGAGTTTATGACAGCAAGTTTACACCAAAATCCCTGCACCCCCTACTACGTCCCACCTCTACCTAAAGAACCCTTAAAACATGCCTCAAATATATTGGCACCCCCCAGATGCTCAATAGAGGATTCACAGGAATTTAAATTATTTTTATTTAATTGCTTTACAGCACCAATCGTAAAGTTTTCTACATACCTCCCAGAGATAAACATCGTTTCCATTATTAAGCTCTATTAAGTGTTCTTCAATGCAATTCCTTTGCATGAAAACTTTATCTGCAATAGGCATCTTTATTGTTAATTAGTAAACTATAACAATGATTTAGTCACCATCTCATATAAACTTAATTAGAATACTTTATTAACTAAAAGCACTTGTATTATTATCATATCATGTTTCCCTCACCAAACCATTACCACTATATTACAAATACATGATGTACAAATTTGCTGCAGAGAGTGGACAAGAATATTTAGAAATAGTCGTTGTAGTTTGACACACGATTGCAGTATCAAACAGTGTATGGCCAAGACATTCTTTTGCTAATTGTTGTAAAAGGCATATATAAATACTGTACTTTTCGAGTTTGGGGAGTTTTTCCTAATCAGTAAAATACTTTTATATAGGATTAAATTGTGCAAAAAAATCTTACTTTTGTGCTTTATAGTCCGCAAATATATATCGATGATAGTGCCCTTTAACAAGCGTCTCTCCCCCTTTTCGTTCAGACGTGCCTGAAATAAATTAATACACCAATTGATGGAAACAATTGGCATAGTTACTTGCTGTTTTGTCAGGGGTGTATAAAGGAAGAAGAGCCCCAATGTAGGTGAAAATAGTTTCCTCCTTCATACTTCTGTAAAATTCAGAACATAGTAATACCATAGTTAATAGAATAGATGGTTTGTAAACTCGTTAGAATAACAATACAACTCATTATCTATGTTAGTCAACGTTTATTCATAAATACGGTCCTTCACCGTCACGTGTGTATTGTATTTTTGCTAAATCCACAAATAGCAATTTCTAATTTACCCTATTGTTCGAGTCACGGATAGGTAACTTTCCTAAAACATTGCTATTGGTTATTTGGGCAACAAATACAATACGCACGTGGTGGTGAAGGACCAGATTTATGAATAAACGTTGACTAACATAGATGAGTTATATTCTTATTCTAATGAACTTCCAAACCATCTATTCTATTAACTATGGTAATACGTATGTGCTTTTATATAATATACAGAGTGTATAAAAAAGTGCACTGGAAATTCTGCAAAATTTCTGACAACTTTATTTTAGTATAAGTAGTTTGGGATCTTCTGGTATCTCTATCACAAAATTATTCTGAAAAGTAAATTTTTGAGTGCATTGGTGAAAAAAAGTGAATTGGCTTGCAGATAAAAATGGAGGATTTGAAACGAAATTTGAACTCATAGAGTGGAAATTTGGAAGGTGTCTTACGAAAGTATCAGACAATTTGGTGTACATTAATTGAGTCCAATGTACGATCTCTGAAACTTACTCATAATTTATCATGTGCACAACTGATTTTATGCATGATTGATTTTATGCATGATCGATTTCTCACATAATCTTTACAAACACATCAAATTATCTGGTACTTTGGTAGTTCATAAAACACCTTCAAAAAATTTGCACCCTATATGAATTGAAACTTCATTTCAAACCCTCCATTTTTACGTGCATGCGATTTTTAAACTGGTTTTGGAAAACAGCCCTCCGAACTTGAAACTTTACTTTTCAAATTAATTTTGTGATAAAGATTGCAAGAAGACCCCAAACTACTCATACTGACATAAAGTTGTCACATATCTTGCAGAATTTTCAGTTTAGTGGATATTTCAGAACTGTGCACTTTTTTCGCCCAAACGCAAAATGTCATAAATGAGATGAACTAACATGTATTTCCAGGCAACCCTAATACATTTCTTTCCCTAAACGTGTGGTAGCCAAATATCAGAGAGAGGACCTTAGTAGGAGTTATTTGAGAGGAGGGCCTAATAGATCATTTACGCTACACTAAACGTTTTATCTCACCCTAATTGTGGAAAACCAGAAGAAAAAATTTCTGTTATATTAAAACCTAGTTTACACTATGCAAACCTGGCGACTGGCGTTATTTGCCTTGATTCTTCAGCTTGTGTTAACCATACAGAAATATAAAACTAATTTACTACTTCATGGTAAACGTACAGGGCGTTTAAAAAAAACGCTATGGAAATTCAACAAGCTGTCGTGCATCATAAACGTGGCTAAACAATTCAATTTTTACATATAGGATACGCTTTTTAAATCGTAACGATGAGAAATGGCCACATACTAGTCAAATAAAAATTGCCGGTCGAAATCACATTCTTCCACCGTTACTGCATGGAAAACGAAACATAGACAATTCCCAAGAAGGAATTAAAGTTGAATGTTAAATTATCTAAAATGAGCTTAACTCGTCAATCTTTAAATGAGCTTAACTCGTCAATCATTAAACATGGTTAAATTAAACAATGAACAAATATCTTACAGCAAGCCCGCGTTGCTTTTGGATTGATTAACATTGCATAATTAATGTATTTTCAATTCCCAACGGTGGAAGAATGTGATTTCGACCGACAATTTTTATTTGACGAGTATTTGGGCATTTCTCATCGTTACGATTTAATAAAGGTATCATAGAAAAACTAAATACCAGCTCTTTCGTCCTATGTAAAAATTGAATTGTTTAGCTAAGTTTGTGATGCACAACAGCCTGTTGAATTTCCATAGCGGTTTTTTAGACACCCTGTATAAACCAGCTACTTACCCCCACAGTTATTGACCACAATATGAGTCCAAATTAAGGTTATATTTTCCTCAAGTGTAAATCGAGTATTTGGATTTTATTGCGGAAAAGCACGATTACAACCCCCTATTTTCGATTTACTTCTATCCAAAGTGAAAAGATGATCGAGAGAGATCAAGAACTGTGGAAAAAGTAACAATTTTCAGAAACACTTTCAGGATGTAAGTACATTGGCCATAAAGAAATCTTGTTTGAAATTTCTTTCCAATTTATCAGTTAATATACTAGTATCTCGTGCACGGGCTAGCATGCAGTGTTTTGCGCACTGCACAACACGTTTTCAGGTAAATAACTTATTTAGCAATCTGATAGATCAAACTGACAGGCAAACGAAGAAAGATTGCATTAAATTGTGAACGACTGTTTGAATGCAACTTAAACGAAATTCTGTTTATGACAAAAAATCCTTATAAACAATTATATCTAAACGGAGCGTAATGATTTGCAACATCTGGTCCTTCCACATAAACCAGGACTCTGTGTGCAGCCCGCATCCAGCTTTCACACGTTTTATAGTATGTGAATGGTTTGCATCTGCAATTGGCAAAATGTTTCAGTGCAAAATTGTTACAATGAATGGTTTTATATGATTTTTTCTAAATAAATCTGTATTGTAATTCGGATCGGTTTTCATGATTTGTACACTGCGTACTATATACGGTATAATGCTGTGCTTAGTGGTTATATTATTACCTTAAAAAACAAGCAGAAACTCGACGTTTCGAGCGAAGGCCCTTCGTCTACTAACTCCTGACGAAGGGCCTTCGCTCGAAACGTCAAGTTTCTGCTTGTTTTTTAAAGTAGTAATATAACCACTCAGCACAGCATTTTCACATTGGTACTACCCACACTGGTACAGACAGTTTTAGTACATATACAGTATACAAGTTTAAAACCAACCCTTGTTTGCGAGGTTGGTTCAAATCGCGGAATATATAACGTTGGCAGACTTGGCAGTCATCATACGCCAAAGGGTTCCAACTATTTAGATATAAAAATAGTCATGTCCAAAAATTAAAATAAAAACAAATGCCAGCCATATATATTTTCAATCACTCAAAAACTTTAATCAGAATGCCTACATTTTTAAAGTGCCACTGCGATGGAAAATTTTGCTGTCTTTTTATTGTATATTCAGAAAGTATATCAGTAGATAAACAAAGTTACCAAATATCAGCGTATTTCTTTCTGCCTTTTTTTTCAACGCAAACATGCAAATTTTTCGGTAGCCATTACTGAGTTATCAATTAGCGAGGTGTCGATTTCTTAGCCGGATGTGACGTAAATTACTCAACACGCTTCTTTCACGAAGGGGAAATTAATATTATCAAAGGCTTATACTAGGCTGTTTTTTGTTCAAAATTATGTCTTCTGACGAAAGCCACCGCTCCAATTTTGCAACACAATCATCTTGCAAACTCTCTTTTGCCGAAGACGTTTCTTGTGATAGCGGGAGTGATGTAAATATGGAGAAAAGTGTGGATTTGTGCGAAGCCTATGATACTTCAATCGAACCTCTTGCCACTGCAGAAACATAATACATTAAGAGTACTATAACTGAGAGAGAGCAAGAGCAGCAAACACCGTCTGCTAGATTGTCTGGGGAAACCTCAACTGACACCTGATAAGTTTTGGATTGTATTTATTTCCATTTTGGTTATATTTGTGACATAAAACAAACATGTGATGGCCATGTAAAACAAAAAAAAATGGTTACTGGTCTCCTTTTAAAATATTATTGACACCTCCGTTATTGCACCAAACGTCTTCAATGAGAGATGGCTTAAAGATGACTGTGTTGCCAAATTTGAACTCGAATTCACGTAAAAAACATATTACTTTGCACAACGTTGTGGAAAATATACTTCAATTTAATTTGATTGATGTAATACAGGGTGTATAAAAAAACTGAACAGATTTGAAATTGCTCTCAATTTCGCAAAACAGCTATTAGTATCCAGTTTTTTTATATATATGGCTTCTTTGGGTACTTATAATGTAGAATGAAAAAAATTTCTCGAACACAAATTTTGTAAACCAGGGGGGTGCGTCTTTTCCGACAAACTAAAAATGGCTTGCGCACGAGATTTAAAAGCTATAGTCGTATTTTGAGTTATGGATGAAAAATGTGTTGGGTGTTTAATTACTGCACGAAATTTCAGACAATTTGCTTCAGTTTAAGCCCTTCAATTATTGACGCAAATTTACATTTTTCCTAAAAAATCAGCAATTTGCATGCTTAATTAATGTATTTGCCCAATTTGCATATGTCAGCAATATGTAAATTAGGTAAAGGCATTAATTAAGCATGCAAAAGGTTGATATTTTAGGAAAAAATGAATAGTTAAAGGCCTTAAACTAAA